TATATATATATATATCATATTGTTTTTCAGCAAAACAGTGAATATGTCTCATTTTGTATCATGACGTTTGTGTTTTATTGGTTTAATTTAATTTCAACAGTTCATGCATGGCTTTAATTTTACCTCATTCTATTTATTTTTGGTACGAGTTTCACCCAAATGTTCAAAATGTGGTTGTTGCACGACAAAATAAATAATACAAAAAATAAATACAGTTAAGCAAAGCATAGTTACAAACCCCTTTATGCAAAACGGATTACCAATGTGCATCACTTCACCACACACAACATAAACAAGCAATCATTTCAGCACAGACACTCGTTCTGGATCTTTTCTTCATTGTGGAAGAACTACTGTGTTGGAAAAAATAGATCAAGTTGTCTGTGGCCAAGGAGGAAATCTCCCCAAAATAATCTAATTTTAGCTAAATAAGTTTTATCTTGACGTCAGGGAGTCAAAAGAGATCCAAAATGGTAGTTTATTTAAGTTTTTTTGGTAAACATAAAAATGTGTGCAAAAGCCATAGTTATTTCTTTCCACAATTTGACTGATCTCTGTATTCAGGATGAAAATGCAATAGTCCTCTAAACAAAATCTCCATTTTTCAATGCCTACACACACACATTTGCACGCATGCACACCCACACACAGATAAGATCAGAAATTATTAAGAACCATTAGATTAACTGGGAAGGTTTCTTAGTTTGACATTCACATACTTATTTTAAAGACAGAGTTCAGTCAAGCAGCAAAACCAATTTGAAAGAATTTATTACATTAGCTGTAATTAGCTGCAATACACATGTGTAACAATGTGTATTGTTACACATTATACCTAATGGTTGTTCTTTTGTGCTTTAATTTTCTCCAGTGTGTCACACGATTAATTGCCATGTTTACCATTTTGACCTTCAAACATCTATAAATAGTTTTGGGTTTTTTTCTCACTTTTGTTTCTGCACACAAATTCTATTTTGCAAAGTTGTCCAAGTGCAATGTTATAAAAACACACTGTTATTTACTGGTTATTACATAATCAAAACTCATACAGTAGGTTTTAAAAACCAAGTATTCAGATCGTTTCGATATATTTAGTGTTACAAAGTATGCACAGCTTTGTAAATGCGTCAATGGAAGTCACTGACCTTGAATAAAAGATGGATATTTTTTTAACATAAATACATTTTAAGTAAATTTTATTTATACCTTGTGTTGCACATGCAATTGGTGACCAAAAACAAATATTGAACAGTCCAACAGACCCATTCAGACAATAAAGTCACATCTTATGAAATCTTTACTTATCGTGTTGCTTTCATGTGCATCTGATGATAAAAGTAGACAATGATAACAGTCTGTATGATGGGATTTGAATGTACACTGGATGTTGTCTGTACAAAATGCTCTAATAAAGTACTGCAGTCACTGGCAAAAAGAAGACATTTTGTGTCTTATGCTTATGGGTGAATAATTATTTCTATGCTTCTATTTCTCTTGTTATACAGTTGAGGTGTATCTTACAAACATTCGATACTAAGGTGAAAATAGGTTTGTATGGGTGCAGGAGT